CTTGCTATCTTAACACATTTGTTGGGTAATATGAATTTACCAATCAAGATAGTTTGGGATTATTAAGGGATTATTAATTGATATTTCTAGGCGAATTTTAGCTTTGGATAGATAAAATCTTCCCATTGTAATATTTATCGAAATGATGAAACAATGCATATCTGTGAGTTTTATATAGATTGCCCGTTTGCCCATATTGCATATCTGAACAGTCAACAAACATCGTTTGAAATCAGGAATAATTTTTTTATGATTTTTATGCCTAGAAAAATACAATTAAAAAAAGAACTTATCGTCCCTTCACACTTTTGATAGAAAAAAAAACTAACAGTAGGAGTTTTTAAGGTATCTTCTTCACTGATACACTCATTTCCCTTGGCAACCCTGCAAATATTACACTGTAACCTGTTTTCATTTAACATATGATGAAGAAAAAGTAGGCATTTTTTTCGCTGTCCAAATAAAAACTTCCATAAACTATACTATACTATGCTATACTATACTATACTTTATATATATATATATATATGTGTTTATCAGTAATTATTTTGAATAAATCGAAGTGATTACTTTTATTGTTATTTCTTGGGAAAAATAGAAAGAAATCTCGCTCTCTCTCTAAATATATATATATATATATATATATATATATATGCATATATATATATATATAAACGCTTGTCAATCACCTCAATATGTTTTCGTATTCAGTGAAATATTCGAACTGACAATCATTGTAAACAGAAAAAAGTTTGCAAGAAATAACTGGCGTAAATTAAGAATAATTTAATTGATTGTCATCAGTGAAAGTGTTGATTGTTGTAAAAAAAAATCAACTAATAATATTCATGTTGATTTCATATCCAACTATTAGTTTATACATAGTAGGCATAAAGTTTATTATTGCAGTTAACCCATTTGAAATAAAAAGTTCATGCAAAGAGAATCAATTTAATTTTTTTCTAAGATATTAAGTGTTTGATATAGTTTTTTTTCTTTAAATTATTAGGAAAGAATTACACTTTATTTCAAACGCAATGGATGTCATTTTATGAACGTGAATGTATAAAACTATGTATTTACGGTATTTTTTTTAAGAAACAGTTGGAGTTTTATTGAGATGTGATACAAACTCCGTTTGTTTCAACTGATGAATTTGTTCATATTTGATCGGTAAAGGTTAAAATACCAAATGACGATTGCTTGAATTACACATTTCTTTGAAATCATGAATCAACCAATGTTAGACCACCACTAGGAACCTGGAAGCACTGGACAGCCGTTTCGTCCTGGTATGAGACTCTTCAGCAGTGAGTGTCCACGACTCCTGCACCCCGAAGGATTCGAACCCAGGACCTTCGGCATTGTGCGCGAACGCCCTAACCGTTAGACCACTGAGCCGGTATCGAACGGTGTTATTCTCTAACTTGATCAAATTCACGTTGTTGCGAAACCTCATACACAGTCTTCGGTAGACACTGTCTACACCCGAACAGGTTGAACTTCACTGGTCAAGTCTTCCCACTAGAACTCGGAGAAGATTCGATTGTTGATATACAGCTTCACGTGTATTTGTATACTAGAAATATGACACTATGCACTACAGTATAAGGCTGAATCCCTTTTCAAAGATAAGCTAACATGGTAAGTACTTAATATTGCGCCACTTGGTATTTCCAACTGTATTCATAATCAATTTTGATAATATTCGACGTTTCAAATAAGAGCAATGATACATTTTGTATGATATCACTTTCTTATTCAACTTTAATACAGTATAATATCTTGAAAGAAATATTCTAATGTATTGTGTTTTTATATTACCAAACAAATCGATCATAAACTCAATACATACACTTTCAACTATCAAAAACAAAGTGGTCAAACTAACACAAAAATTCAATCGTCAATAGTTTCAGGTTCCGTATGTTTATCATCATCCATCCCATACAAATCTTTTGAACTTTAAGAAATTATTTTACAGACTGCCTTATCAAATGATCCTGTTAGTTGAATTTCATCATCTTTACCAATGATTAATTACTTTTTATTTTAGTAAACAATTTCACATTTAACTTTTGTTTGTCTAGTCTGAATGTTTACAGATAACATATTCTGCCAATGATGCCAAAGAAAAGAGGAGAAAAATGATTTCGACTCATAAAATGATTAGATTTACCATACAAAACTTAGTAAGCAATTGTTTATGTTTACTACTTCTTGTATTTGTTTACTGGGAAAAAAATATGAAAGCTGAAATATCGTTGTATGGCCAAGACACTAATGACATTGAACATAGGAGTTTTATGTTCAACGTTCAATCCTTGATTACTGGCATTTAAATGCATGCGTGCCAACATGTATGTGTGTGTGTGTGCGTTTGACTAAACCCATGCCGTTTAAACGGAATCAATAAATTCGCAACACACACAAAAAAAGAAATCATCTCTTTCTACGTTTTCTTCTCTTCTCCTCACCCTGTTAGTTTTCATTTGACGTCTGGTGTGTATCAAGTCATTACTACGCTAGTAGTAAGTCACTGTCAGCCTACATGCGTTTATCTTTTTTTCAAAATGTGAACGTATGGTTAAAAATGTGTATTTAATGCATTCAATCAATTTCAATGTACAACATTTATTTGATTTTTATTTATTTTTCGCCTTTCTTTATCAAAAAAAAATCAACAACAAGAAAAAATGGAAACATTTCACTTTTCAAAAGGAAAGAGCACAAAACGTGAGGAAAAATTTGTCAAGTGCTTCCTTTTTTCATGACATGAACATTGATAGCGCATACATGCCAACTGATGTGGAGTTTAACAATTCAATAGAGTATTTCCATTCTCAGCAGGCTATCCATTGTAGGTAGTTGTTTCTGATTTGATTCAACCCTTTAGAAATAGTGTAATATTCAAATGCTACTGTATGTGTATTGAAAAAGATGTGTGTAAAATTTTTTATCAAGTGAAACACATCAGCTCTAACATCATTTTGGTCAACATTATTAATAGTATATAATAGTTGTAAAGTTGTTGTAATCTGATTGAATTTCACTAATTTTTTTAAATTCTGTTTTCAGAGTATGAACACATAGAGAGAGAGAGATTTGGAACATGAGTTGTTTGACCAATGGTAATGTCATAAGTTGATGTGATTTGAACAATATATACATATATATATATGCGTAAGGCATGGTAAATTAAGGTATACAGCTAGGTAGGTGGGGTATGTGTTCAAGATGTTTTCACGTATGCATATACATCTGCAGTGGAAAAGTACGTGTTTGACTTTTGTGTTAGAGAAGTTCAATTTAACTGATAAATACAGAGTAAAAGACATTTGAAAGCTAGTTTATTGAAATTTTTATGTCTAAAATTGACAGACCACACATGAGTAAATGTGACTAAAATCTTCTAGATTTGATTGTATTGAATCATTGATTTCTTATACATAAATAAATAGACAGAAAATTTAACTTTTAGACAACCCATCGAATCAACTAATCTTTAGAGGAATCATTTATGTCATTAATCAACGGGTACAGGATTGTTCAAACTTTAAAATAAAGTTTAAAATAAACTGATCTAACAATGTTATCTGATCGATGATTAGTGTAGTTGAACATTTGTTCTACTCTGTTGAGTGATCTTGAAGATGTTAAAGGGTTATTCAAAATTTGCACCTGAAATGTTTATTCACTCACATTTAGTCAGCTAAAAGTGGTAGGCAGAATTAAAGTTAAGTTAATACTAATAATAAACGTGTAAACTATGAACATAACAAAAAAAGTTTACCAACCGTACGAATACTAAAGACATACAAGACATTAGTATTATGTTACTTTGTGAATCTTTCTCTCTAAAAAGTGTTATAATTTATAGAACCAAGATATTCAGCTGATTGAAATTGTTGTTTATATTTCAATAAAGTACAACAGAGTCCAGTTTAGATGTCGATTTCTTATTTTTTTCTCTGTCAACCGTATATGAAAATGAAATGAAACTTTTGGAAGATCATATCCCAACTTTGTTCTAATTATCTATGAGCAGAAATTGGATCCTTCTTGATTGATTGCTGAGTTAGAAAACTCTTGGTTAAATTTTTTATCAAGTACTTAGAGATGCTTTATTGGTCTATATTCTGTAAATGTTATACATGATAATCGTTGTGTGTGCTGATTTTCGAGAGTTCACCGTACGAAGCACTAGTGTCTTATTGGAACTGTACATCAACCGACGTTAGATCACGGCTGCTCACTAGAACTCGGAGAATTCCTTGTCCAAGCTAGTCATTAGTGTACACGTAAAAATTATCCGTATAATGTTGTGAGGAATGTTGAATTTCATTGAAATCATGAACTGATCAATGTTGAACTACCATTGAAAACTTGGGAGTATTTGTACTATTAAGTGAAAACATTAAGAAATGTTAGATACCTGGATAGTGTAATGAGATGAAGGTTATCTTCGATTTTATTACTTATGACTGTTATGTCATCCATGTATCTCTTTAAAAAAAATCATATTTTCGATTAGATCGTCAACTTGATTCTTAAGATGTGCTATAAACACGTCGGCTAATAATGACTTTCATAGACTACTTATGGTCGCCTCGCTTATCTGGGAAAGGTATTTACCTTCAAATGTGGACTGGAATAAGTCACAACACAATAGTAAGAGATATTTAAGAAGAGGGTAATGATAGGTTGTTCAAACACGTATCGTCATATCAGTTATCAGTAGTCTTTCTTCCAGTACATTCGTGAGCAAGAAATGCATATCGAAAGAACACATTATTTTGCTCTCGACATTAATACCACCTAAATAATCTTACAACTCAAAGGAATCCATGAGAAATACGTGCATAAACGTCTCCGGATAGCATCCAACACTTTTGTCAATCGTCTAGCTAGATTATGTGCAGATGACTGATAGATCGACAAAATCAAACGTGATTTTAGTTTCATGAATCTGTATAAATGAAGATATTCATAAACTATAGGTTTAAGAAAACTGAATTCCGCATTATCAATAATATTACTACTACTACTACTACTACTACTACTACTACTACTACTACTACTACTACTACTACTACTACTACTACTACTACTACTACTACTACTACTACTACTACTACTACTACTACTACTACTACTACTACTACTACTACTACTACTACTACTACTACTACTACTACTACTACTACTACTACTACTACTACTACTACTACTACTACTACTACTACTACTACTACTACTACTACTACTACTACTACTACTACTACTACTACTACTACTACTACTACTACTACTACTACTACTACTACTACTACTACTACTACTACTACTACTACTACTACTACTACTACTACTACTACTACTACTACTACCACCACCACCACATAATCGGTTCTTTCGATAAGAAAGCACACTAAAAAGCTGATAGTAAGCGCCAAATTTTGTTAAAGTACGTAAATTACTGTGTATTGAGCCAAAGCAGACAACTTAAACTATATAATAATAATTATTCGAAGATAACTAGTGAATAATAATCCCTAGAGTTATATTCTTAGTTTATTGACGCTCATAAGGATTTCATGCTTGCGATCCATTTTTTAGATATTTTCAGTAATCTATGCGATTAACGCTGATCATTGCAATCAATACAAGTTCAAGATAAATAAAGCTCAATATTGAACTTCAATTTAAGTTAAGCGGTCGTCAGTAGAGATTAAACAAAACTGATTTTTAGTTTTGAACAAATATTTACAACTGTCAAATTGTAACATGACAAGTTTGATTTTTTAAATAAAAACTGTTAATATTTCTTATCTTTTACTTTTCCTATGTTCATTATCAATGTGAATCCGTAAAATGTTACTATTTCAAATTTCATTCAATAAAATATTCTTCGATCTTTTTCAAATATTATACCAACTGACAATATAAAAATTTCCGCGAGGTTTTTTTTATTTCAAATCTAGTCTATGCAGAATTGACTTTTGATTATTGACTGTTTAAACATTTTCAGATTTACTACTTCAACTTCTAGTTACTGATTTTTTTTAATTTTCACGTTCGCACAAAATGAAATGTTTTATTATGATGAATGTGTCAATTTATTTTCTATGGATGTTTCTTATCACACCTGAAAAATGTCATGATTTCTGAAGTGGAACTATGCAGGAAAGGGTTCGCGGATATCTCGATAGTAGTCTTTGAGTTTTGAAAAAGTACATAAGTTTCTTAGGTTAAACTAAGTGTTTGTAGACTAGGTGGTATGGCTCAAAACCAATACCTTTTTCAGATACCTCTATCATATCCTGCTGCGAATCCTAAATATTTTACAATCTTTTAACTTTCGTCCCGTTGTTGCACTGCAGTTTTGTTTTAATTTTTCTCACTCTTACTGATTTCTCAAAAGTGTTTAAATGTGTTGTTTAGCATTTTGTAAAGGCATATGATCGTGTTCGGTCTTAGGTTGTTTGTGTCCTTACCCTTTATTTACTTTGTTATGACGTTTTCTCGATGTTTTTATACTTTTATATTGCAGCAACCGCACAACTAATGTCATTGATCCCATAATAAGAGATAGGTTGTTGCATACTTGTAGGATCATAAAACTTGTAGATTACAAAACATTGATTTAACTGTTGATATCCAAAGCGGTCTTCTAAATGCATCCTTTGGGGTCCTATTATTTGAAGTTTAATCTTCATTTTATGAAATGAAGATGAAGCTTTATTTGTGAGCTGCATGCTTTCAGTATAGATTTCCTAGAGTAATCTCTCCCCCCAAAAACGGTATTTAAAGTGAATATCGCGTCTGCTGCTAAGTGTCTACCAGTATCACTCCGATTTCCTACAATTCCCAATACGAAAAGAAACCTTTCCTACACTTGTCCGGCTTCGAGAATTAAATCAGCAATTTTTTGAAATCCTTTTATGTAGAAGCTTGCGAAAGGGTTTGAAGAACACTACTATCCTACAAGCCTGTAAAGAAGTGGTAGTTTATGTGGAAAAAATGTAGTAATTAAATACTGCTTTAATTTTTGGTTTTAAATTCAGCTAACAGTATAAGTTAATCTTGTTTCTTATTTAAATAAACACACTAGCTAAAAAAGGGGTCTGTCTAGTTCACCGACTGTAATATTGATGCACATGTACATATTGTTCATGTAGTCTATCAAAATTTTTCTGAAGAGTATCGCTTCAGACATAAAATGATACGTGTACAAGTATCAGGTAACCAGAATTTCGATTACTGATGACCAGCTGTCTTTTTTAAAAATGAGTTAGTACTACCAAAAAAATATTTAAATTATGAGGCAAAAGTAGTAAATAGTACTTATTTTCTTATTGTTGTAAGTCCCCTATCATCTAAAATGCAATTGATAATAATCTCATCTATATAGGTCCCTAAGGCAGGAGATTTATGAATTGTAGGTAAACAGAGTTACACAAAGCACTGTCTGTCACTTTACGGCAGCACACAACGGTAAAATAATCCAAAATGATATGACTTCTTCAGCTCCGAGAACAAAACTCCACCACAGTCATCCACATGAGCTACACCCACCATGAGATTTATCATCCTATTTATTTAAACAACCAGTTCCTCGCTGGTGTGTAATTTGAACCTTACGCCTCGTCGCTTTTATCACAACCCTTAATCTTAAGCTCATAGTTATAACACTAGCTATGATAACAATTTCTACCTTATTTCAATTTCGTATCAATATTAATAAGTTTCATTATTTCATAACTAATATGGTAAACTTTATATCCACTGTAATTTTAATAGTTTATGTTCGATATTATTTCATTTCTATTCATAAAATAAAAAAAGATGAAGTCTTTCAAAACATACTAAAAGTGTTGTTTAAACTAATTACTGGACTTCATTATGTTTCTCTTTTTTATGCCTACACTTTGAACCAGTTGTTCAATTTTCAATCTTGTAAATTAAAAAAGAATTCAACTTTTTAAAATTCTATTAACCTTTGTAAATATACAAACAAAAAAACTTTCTGAGTTGAATGAAAATTTCTGTACACAAAAAAAAGTTACCACAAGAAAACAATCATTTTCCCCACTTTCGATTGACTACAACCACGGTAAATGGCGCCAAAAATTTACTAAAATCTTCAATTGTTGACAAAATTTCACTGTTTATTATTTATTCATGATAATAAATCGGTCTAATTCATTTCACACGTAAAACTGATAATAATAATAATAATCATAAATAACATCAAATATTTTGTGACTTTTCAAAAAAATTTTCAATTATCAATTAGTCTTTTCTTTATCTGTGTTTCGATATTCAGTGGAAGGAGAACAAACCAGAAAACAACATCATGGCATATTGTTTTTTACGCTTTAACTCTATGTATGTTTACTTATGCTTTATTGTTGTTGTTGTTGTTGTTGATTTTGTTCTCTCTTTCTCTCTCTGTTTGAACGTTTAAACAAAGAACAGTTGTGCTTTCCCAATCATCATCATCATCCTCATCATCCCCGTGAATGTGATATGATGAAAAATGATCATGAAAACTGGAATACAATTCCACTTAATGAGACTATTAAACCTATGGATGACAAACTGGATGAGGATGTGAAAGAAACAGAAAACAGAAGTAAACTTTTTTCGAAATTACGTTGATTTATTTACTCTCCTAGTAGCTACGCTCATTATTTGGCGTTGAATTAGAATTCACATGGAAATAATAATGATATCTTATCACGTTTTCGTTTTTTAGGATTTAATTATCTGTATGTTAGTGACTAGATTCAATTAGATTAGTTTAAAACAGTTGAATCATTATATTTCTTCTTGTTTTAATGTTTCTAATTATTGTTTTGTAAATGCATTTCCAATTACAATTTGAAATGCATCTTCATAAATGTTAGAACAATAGAATTTGCACTAAGTATATAATGATCATTAATCAAAAGTATCTTTTAGTAAATAAATCATTATATTCTGTTTACACGTATATATTAATTGTGCTTTCATTTGTTTGTCATTCATTTAGGTCTGTTTGTTGAAAAGAAACTATATGACAATAGTATACTATATAAAAAGATGTATTTATAATGTGTACAGAATAATACAAATGATAATATTTTGGCATACGTGTAGCTATGACTCTTTTAAGGTAGCCAAATGCATCGTCATCTAATTGACGAATACGTAGCATAAGTGAAGCCATCTGGGGGTTGTGGTGGCGACTACCTACCTTTTTGTGGTTTTGCTAGGTGATGTGGCATTGTTCACAGAGCTGCAGCCAAATGTTGTTTCAAACTTAGTAGCCGTCATGTTTTGAAAGTAGCTAATAACTTTAAAGGGGGGTAGATCCAGTTTTCTTTAGCCGGACTTGGAATTTGTTCAGGGAAGCATTCGCACAGATCCTGGATTGTGTGACTCCCGACCCTATGTGCTTGCGCTCGGTCGAGTAAATGATATTTACTCTATGGAAACTTATACGTTCTGGCTGACCTTACTAGATGGTCATCCCCTAGCTTCATATGAAATTTTGAGGATCTCGGTCGATTGTCCAGTGCGTGAGGGAGCTCGGGGATTAGTTGGTTAGAATGGCCGCTTGTTAGTGCATGGCTTGGACGCAATCACTGAAAAACACAGTTTACAGCTCTGTTGAATTAAAAAGCTTTTTAGATCCCTATCGGCGTGTCGCCTTGTAAATTAGTGCTCATAATGAATATATCCTTTGTACTGTAGGGCTACATTTTGCTTGATATATTAGTTCTAGGTTTATGTCGATAAATCTGTGGAAGATTTTGTAGAGTCTTATTTATTTCATAGTCCATTGTTCACCATGTTTATTCCTTTTAACACAGAGGACGATCGGTTCAAGAAAGAAATCGAATCTAACATGACAGATCAGAATGGCAGACTTTCCAAATTGCATTTGAAAAATCAAAAAAAGTTTGTATATTAACTATTTTGCACTTCTTTGATTGAGCATATACCAAGTCACATAAGATTTCAGACACAATTTCAGTTCAAGTACTCGGACTATATTGGTAGATGCTTAATTTCCATAAATCTTAGAAATAACAACGAAGTTAGTCTGAAATTTTTTTGAATACATACGAGATAAAACTAACAAACCTTTCCTAAAAATTCATTCATGCTCAAATATGATAAATAATTTTGCTTTTATAGCAATTTGACAATTGAGCAAATTACCATGTTTTTAACTTCAAAAATAAAGTATTGTAATTAAACAGATACTTGATTTATCTAGGCTAGCTAACATAAATAATCGACTAAAACTCAGCTCACTTAAACAACGCCAAGGATGAAAATTAATATCGATCTGTATTATGTGTCAACACATATCTGCCGGCCGAACGTTATCAGCAACAGTCTACCACGGTAGA